GATGGAGTGGTGGCCAAGAAGGGCTGCCGTCCAGCCGAACTCTGGAGGCACGCACTCCCGGAGGAATGACTTGCCGATGAAGGCATGCACTCCCGAAGGAATGACTTGCCCGAGCCAGCCAGACAGACAGCCAATCGCCTCCACCTGCACACACAGACAAAGACACACACAAACAGATACACACACAGACAGAGACACACAAGTATGTGCACACGCGAGATGAGCACATCCTTTGCTTGTGGTCGTACGTGCGTACCTCCCGAAGCGCCGAAGATGACATGTTGACTCCTTGAGTGTTCGCCGGGCGGGAGGCCGCGAAGAGGGGCCGGAAACCGGTTGAGTCGAGCTGCACGTTGAGGCCGCGGCGGGACTTGCCTGTGGCGACCGCCAGACGGACACCACGGCGCCGCAGGGCATCAAGGAAGTTGCGAGACCCGTCGAAGGGCTTAACCTGACGAAAGACAATGCAATTGGGACCCATTGCATTGAGTCGATCGAGGCATGTATGTCGTGTGAGTCGATCGATGTACCTGTGTGTGTCTCGATTTCCCATCAGTGTGTGCGGTATGCGGCCTTGATCTCTTCGTGCGTCTCTTGGTCATCGTCCGGACAGAGCACCAGGGGCACGTCATCGATCGACAGGCCAGTCGTCTGGCGAATCTCCCTCTCCAGACGCCTCTCGTTCATCGGCGGATCAGAGTCATGTCATCGTCACAATCACCAGAACCATCAGCCGCCTGCCGTCTCCTCTTGTTGTCGCGAGCGGTCTTCTTGGCCTCCTTGACGGCCCTCACCCAGCACCACCGGATGATCGACGTCACCGAATTGACCACAGTGCCATCCCTAGTGGTGCACAGCACACGCAACAACCATTGCGGTGGCACGTGCATACACCGCTGCACACCTGCCCGGGTCACCCACTTACCAGTCGAAGCAGACGCACCGCAGGACAGGCTTGTCGGACACCGCCTCCCTCACATCGTGGCCGACAGCCGCCTTGTCATGACACGGAGTGGGGTGCGGAGAGGGAGGGGCGCGGTCGGTCTGCACTGATGCCGCCGGTCGGAGGCCGAATGGTGCAGTGGCTGGGGAGGGAAGGTGGGGCGGCTGCGGGGTGTCTCGCTCGTAGTAGAGCTGGCCTTCCTGTGTGGGCTGCTGTCACCAACGGGTCTGCCGGATGGCCTCGCCCGTCAATCGCCGAGTGACTAAGGCCCACAGGCGCATTGCTGGCATGCGGCCCGGCATCTACAGCGCGGAGACGGCACTCCCGCGGCCTGACACAACCACTCCCACCTGCACACACACACGTGACAGCCATGAGAGCACAACAAGAGATGAGAGATGACCTCCGCCGTGTATGTGTGTGTGTGTGTAGGTCTCGTACCTTCCTCCTCCCAGGCAAGAAGCGGGGAGCCGTAGATGGATGGATGAGTGAATGGGCGGCGGCTGACTGCAGCCGGCCTGCAGAAGGACAACAGGCAGACAGACAGACAGACAAGGAGCTCAGAGAGGTCGACCACATGTGTCTGTCACGTGTGCACATCTGTGAGTGTTCGCGTGTGTGTACCTGAATGAACAAACATGCCGGGCGGGGCAGCAAACACACCACACCACACACAGCGGCCTTCCCGCAACCTGAAGCAGCCAACCGACCAAAGACATCCGTGCATTGCATGTGTGTGTGCGCCAAGTGCATGTCCGTCCGTACAGCCCTGCCCTGCGTACCGGTCGGTGGAGCGGTGCTTGGAGGGGGGAGGGAAGAAGTGCCTATCATTTCCTTTTTGGTATTGCCTTCTTGTGGGCCTCTCTTTTCCCTCTCTCGGCCTTCTTCAGGGGGCCTTTGGCTTTGCTTTCCTTCTCTCTTCGTCCCTCCCCTTGTCTGTCGGGCAGCCAGCCACCGAGTAAAAACTGACTAGATGACGTCAGAAATGACAGTAAAAATGACTAAAGAATGCAATGCCGCACACAGACAGGCCAGACGAACGAAATCGAGAGGGACAGGCAGGCGAAAACGAAACCCATCGGCCATGCGGACACGTGTGTGAGTGTGAGGGGCAGAGCCGTCATCAGCCAGGCCATGAAGGGGGAAAGGGACACACATGCACGCAGCCATCACAAAGATTTTCGAAGGGCAGCACGGCCAGACAGCCGGCC